TTATGCGGCAGAATTCACGAATTCTTCATTTTATATTGTAAGATGTCAACTAAGATGACGGCAATACACCGTAATGTAATTTGATGGCACCGTAATATTTGTGACGGTATAGAACTACAGTATACTTTGCTTAGCTGCCCAATCTTCTTTGCACGAAAAACTTGTGCACTTAACCGAAAAAAGCACTTAGGCGAATTTTCTTTACTACTTCAATGAGGAAGGTATCCGAATCCCTATGAAACCAAATAATGGAGAAGCACTTACCACGTAGAAATTACTGCAAGCGAAATTTTTTTCGAATGGTATCCAATTATTTATATAACTACATAAAATGTAGCCGTTTTCGTTGTTCTGCGAGATGAGCAAAATAAATAAAAGTTTGTAAAATTAGGTAATTGTACGGCCAGTGCAGCTAAACGTAATACTCTCTTTGATAATTGATAACAGTTGCACAATTTTTAAAGCAGGTATCGCCAATGTGCACTTACGTTGAATGCATCTATCGGAGGAGTTTCCTTATAATGTTAAAAATAATGCCGTTAATGTGCATTTTAGGGTAGGTATCTGAAATGTGCACTTAAGCATAAAGGCAGCAAAGCAAAATATACTGTATTTATCAACGTTTTTTGGTAACGCCATATTTGTATCGGTGTATTAGAAAATTTGTTTACAATTCTTTTGATCAAAATAAAAGCATTAAATATACATTTATATGAATTTTGAATAATAAAGTGGAAAGTGTATATATAATTGAAATATAACATAAAAGCGCAAAGCTACGTTACGTCCATTTAGCTTTACATAAAAGCGGTACCGCTATTAGCGTTCGGTATGATACGATCGTAATATTACGGCATCGTTTTTTGAGGAAGCCAAAGCTTTAGCACACTAGCGAAAAACTAAACATAAGGGTTGTAGGTTTTTTTTTTTATTTATTTATTTATTTAATTTTTTAAAGCATTTTTTGAATTTGCTACAGACGTTGATTCCAAGAAATAGTTCGTATTATATTTAGATTGATTTTAGTGCATTTGAATTTCTCTGAAATGATTTCGTGAATTTGTCTACGTATAATAGAAAAAATTTGTTTCTATTTTAAAGTATACGTATATATATTCTATTTTTCTAAACATTTTTAGTCTAAATAAAAAAATATAATAAAAAAACCTAAAGATCAACAACATTAAAAAATAAATAAATTTATATATATATACACATAATAATATATATAAAAAGCAAGCATAATGAAATCATTTAACTGCGATATGTGTGAAGCGTCATTCACTAGAAATTCTAGTCTTAAACGTCATATTCAAGGAAAACATCAAAAAACTTCAATGCGTATACCGAAATCAATAAACGATGACGCTCCCAGCGGATCTGAAAACTTAAATCCAGATAAATATGATGCAGTCTTCTGTAGAAGTTGTAAGGAAGAAATTGATTGGAAAAATTGGGCTTATCACTTGAGGACGAATGCTCATAAATCAAAAAGTGGAGAGATAATAAATGAAAACTTAAAACAAATAAAATCGAGTTTCGCTGAAAAATTAGAACCGTATAAATATAGAAACACAAATAATATGATTCTAAATCCAAATCTTTTTTTTGATATCGCTAAACCAAACGTCGTTGAAATTTTAAATAATATGTTAGAAAAACATAATGNGACGAATGCTCATAAATCAAAAAGTGGAGAGATAATAAATGAAAACTTAAAACAAATAAAATCGAGTTTCGCTGAAAAGTTAGGACCGTATAAATATAGAAACACAAATAATATGATTCTAAATCCAAATCTTTTTTTTGATATCGCTAAACCAAACGTCGTTGAAATTTTAAATAATATGTTAGAAAAACATAATGTACTGAAATTCAACTTCAACCTTCTTTGCGAGTATGTTAAAATGGATGAAGAGAACGCAGATATTATCATAAAATCCCACCCAGCACATTTAATTGAAATAAACAAAAACACGGACTTAAACGAAATATATTTAGAGCAATGTATAGATATTGATAGGAATATATCTGAATTTAAAAAAAGCGATATTGGTTGGACGATTTCAAATATTTTATATTTGGAAATTATCTTCGTTCAAAGTCTAAGACAAATTCGATCACTTTTTAATGAACGCATTGAATCATATTCCTACATAAATACAGATGAAAGATTATTGATTCCTAATGAGTTTATATATAAAGCTAAATCATCCGTATTTCAAATATTAAATGAGATGTTAGAAAAACATCACGCATTGAAGTTTAATTTTGAAATATTTTGCGAATATTATAAAATGAGTGAAGAGGTGGATATAATAGATATAAAATCTCATCAATCAAAAATGATGATATTAGACCAAAATACTGACTTGGAGGAGATATTTTTAGTTCATTTTATGGAAATTGAGAAGAAGATGTCGGAATTTCAAGAGCGTGATAGTGGTTGGTCGCTTATAAAAATATTACGTCTTGAACTAAATATTAATCAATATAAACCCATAAAGGGTTCAAGTTTTATAAAATTACCGAAATTCATCTTCGATAAAAAAGCTTGTATCAATATAAAAAACAATGATATATATTGTTTCAAATGGGCAATCGTTTCATCTCTATATTCCCCAAGGCATCCGCAGGAATGTTCTAGCTATCACATTGATGACATAGAGTCTGAAATTATTTATTTGAGAAATGGACTTTTAATAAACTTTGAAATGTTAACATTTCCACTTGCGTTGAAGGATATAAAGATATTTGAAGATAAAAATCCTACCATTAGCATTAATGTCTTCGGATTGAATGAAGTTGCTAAAAGTGTTGAAGGTCCATATTACCGCACAAAAGAAGAAAAAGACACTCATATAAATCTGCTATTACTACAAAAAGACGATTTATTCCATTATGTATGGATTAAAAATATTTCAAGGTAATTATTTAGTTATAAACAATTATACTTATAAAAATATATATTCGTGCTTTATAAATAAAAAAATTTCAATTTATAGTTTTGAAATTTTAGATTGGTATCAAAGCAGTTAACATTAAATGAACATAAAACATTCCTATGCAACACATGTCTACAAATGTTTACCACTAAAGAAAGACTCAGTCAACATAAGTCTGAATGTGGACAAATTGTTACAAAGATGGTAGAAGCCGAAAAAAGTAAATTAATGTTTAAAAACTTTAAAAATAAGCTAGAGGTTCCTTTTACAGTTTATGCTGACTTTGAATGTGTCTTAGTAGAGGAAGATTTAGAGATTTCGAATAACAGCAAAGCAATTCAGAAGCATAAGCCATGTGCATTTAGTTATTATATTAAATGTGCATTTAATGATTCTTTAGATAAACTTAAAATATATACTGGTGAGGATTCAGCTTCGATATTTATTAAAAGTTTAATTGATGATGCTAGAGAAATTTATTTTAATTATTTAAAAAAGATAGAACCCATAAATTTCCTCACTTCAATTGAATTAGATATACAAAATAATAGTAGTACTTGTTCAATTTGTGGAAAACCCTTAGGGATCGATAGAGTAATAGATCATTGTCATCTAACTGGAAAATATCGAGGTCCAGCTCATAATGATTGTAATTTAAATTTTAAAATCGCAAACTTTATTCCAATATTTTTCCATAATCTTTCCTCATATGATTGTCATTTATTCATAAAAGAACTTTCAAATATTCCAGGAAGTATTAATATTATTCCACTAAATAAGGAATTGTATGTATCCGTATCAAAACATATTAATTTTAATATTAATTCAAGCATTGAACTTAGGTTTTTAGATTCTTTTCGATTTATGTCTTCTAGTTTATCTAGTTTAGCTAAAAATTTAACTAATAATGATTTTAGAGTGTTGCGAACAACCTTCGTTGATGAAGATGAATTCAATCTTTTAAAAGTAAAAGGGATATTTCCTTACGATTATTTTAATAGCATTGAACGCCTTCAAGAATCATGTTTACCACCTCGTGAAAATTTTTTCAATAAATTAATTAATGAAGAATGTAGTGTTAGCGACTATGAGCATGCTCAAAAAGTGTGGTCAACTTTTAATTGTTTAACATTACGTGATTACTTAGAAATTTATTTAAAAACAGACGTAATATTATTAACAGATATTTTTCAAAATTTCAGAAAAATTTGTTTAGAAATTTATAGTCTAGACCCTTGCCAATATTTTACTGCCCCCGGATTATCGTGGGATGCAATGCTAAAGACAACACAAATTGAGTTGCAATTAATTACAAATATTGATATGTATAGCTTCATAAAGAAGGGTATAAGGGGTGGTATAGTTCAATGTTCTAACCGATATTCTAAAGCAAATAATAAATACATGAGCAATTATGATGATCATAAACCATCAAAATATCTTATGTATTTAGATGCAAATAATTTATATGGTTGGGCTATGTCCGAATATCTTCCCTATGCTGAATTTGAGTGGTTGGATAATGTTAATGATTTTGATGTTTTCACAATAGAAGAAAACTCTTCGTATGGTGTCATTTTAGAGGTTGATTTGGAATATCCTCATTCAATTCACGATATACATAATGACTTACCATTTTGTTGTGAAAATAAAAAAATTGGTAGCATGATTCAACCTAAACTAATAGCTGATTTAAATAATAAAACTAGGTATGTAATTCATTATAGAAATTTGCAGCAGTGTCTTAAACATGGTCTAAAATTGAAGAAGATTCATCGCGTTTTAAGGTTCAAACAGTCTAATTGGCTAAAAAAGTATATAGACCTAAATACTTTTCATAGAACAAACGCTAAGAATGATTTTGAAAAGAATTTTTTTAAACTTCTGAACAATGCTGTATATGGAAAAACTATGGAAAATGTAGATAAAAGGAAAGATATAAAAATAGTATGTGAATGGGAAAGTATTGGAAAAAGGTTAGGCGCTCGAGCCCTCATCGCTAAACCTAACTTTCATAGTTATACATCATTTACAGAAAACATGCTTGCTATACAATTGAAAAGATCATGTACCTTATATGATAAGCCTATTTATATTGGTTTTGTTGTATTGGAATTATCAAAGTGGAAAATGTATAACTTTCATTATAGTTATATGAAACCTAAGTTTCAAACAAAGCTCTGTTTGAACTATATGGATACTGATTCTTTTATATATACTATTCAAACGAATGACTTTTATAAGGATATTCATGATGATATTGATTTAAAATTTGATACATCTGAATATTTAGAAAATAACGTCTTTAATTTTCCTTTAAAAAATAAAAAATGTTTGGGTATGATGAAAGATGAAAACAATGGTAAAATTATGAAAGAATTTATTGGACTCAAGCCTAAAATGTATTCTATTAGTGTTGAGGGAGACAATGATGTGAAGAAAGCTAAAGGTGTAAAAAAGTCAGCATTAATAAATCTTAATATTATGAATTATAAAGAATGTTTACTTCAAAACAAAATTTTTTATGATAAGATGTATACTTTTAGATCTAAAATACATGAGATTTATACAATAGAATTTAATAAAGTTGTTTTAAGCAATATAGATGATAAGCGTTTTGTATTAGATGATAATATTAATACTTTAGGATGGGGACATTATAAAATCAATAACTTAAATTAGTTTAATAAGTATAATATGAATATATTTTAAAAACTGTTTATGTTGTGAAAGGAAACTTTTCCCATTTTGTTAATTCTAATTTATAGAGGTACATTTTATTAATTGAATTTTTAATAAATATCTAGTATACAAGTATATCTCTTTCGAAATTTCTAAAATCTCTCCTCAACATAAGTATATTTAAAACTTTATTATATGTTCTTTGGTGAAAATAGGCCTACAGGGGAATCGAACACCAATCAAATAAAAAAATCGATAGCGCGCCTTTATTGCAAACCTCAAGGTGGTGTGGAATATGCAATTACTTTAAACAATAAAGAATAAGACTATATTTTATAATATAATATAAACGTTTTTCTTTTATTTGTTTGAACACTTTGAAATTATAAATATATATATATATATATATATCAAGATAAGTATAACTATATATTTAACATTTTGTTTTTTTTTTCTTCAATAAATATAGAGAAAAAAGTGATTTACTTTAAATTAAATTTTATTTTCTTTATCATGTTCATCATCATCATCATCGGAACTTTCATACATATTATAAAAACTATTATTTTCCTTGCTCTTCTTTTTAAGGTTTAGGATAGGCGCTCCATATATATCCTTAGCTTTCGTTATAATATGAGGACATCTATTTAAGTAGTCCATCTGATTCTTTGTTATAATTTGAAATCTCCTTGGTAAGTAAATATAATATTCCTGATTCACTAGACATCTTATACTTTCTCCATACTTTGTTTCCACTCGTTCTACATTATTTATTTCATACATAGTATTTTCCTTCATATCCCTTAAAGGTAGATATTTAATATTAGAAAATTGGAATAACTTTTTTAATTCCGTTTTCATTTTTTATTATTCTCGCTTTCAGCTTTAATAGAACAAATTCACAATTTCGTTTGATATTAAATATTCAATGTATTCCATTTTTATATTAAATTTTTTAATGAACCGAAGTGAGAGAGACCGAGAAAAAAGTACCTTAATTCTTATCGAAACGATGTATTTTTAACAATCTTTGCTTCCTATATCAAAAATGTGAGTTTTCATAAAAAGTGGACTTAACAACTTTTCTCACTAAGTCAACAATATACATATAAAGAGATGAAAAAAACATTTAAATTTACATATTTTTATATATTTATGCGGGAATTCGTTATCACCTACTTGGTATTAATATACTTATTAGACAAACAATGGTGATGATGAAATCAAGATCAAGGTTATTTGTCACATTTTAATTGTCACATATTATGAAATATAAGCAGGGTAATAAAAAAATTAATATATTTTTTTTGTTAACAACATTGAATTCAAGGTTATTTTTTTCACATTTTTTTTGATTGAATCATATTGTGAAATATAAATAGATTACTAAAATATATATATATGTTCCTTATCATCAGTTTATTATTAATATATTAGGCAAGCAATGATGAAGTCAAGGTTATTCCTATAATTAACGTAAAATTTTTTATAAAATATAATGAAAACGGATATGATTCTTTTATATATATATATATATATATATATATATATATATATATATATATATTAATATAAAATAAAGATAAAACAATATGTATTGGTGTCAAACCGTGAAACCTAATAATAGGTATTGTACTTGCCATGCTCAATGGAAAAGTTTTGATATTGTTAACGGTATAGCAACAGATAAAACCTTAGAGGTATTTTTTACTGCTGAAGGAGGGTTTAGATCGCAAATTTTATGTTTGGCTAGATCTCAACAAATACCGTTAAATCTTCCATCATTTCACTTTTCTCATAACCAACATGTTAAAATAGAAACTGTTGGTGGTATGATTGTAATAGTTGGTATAGTTTATGAAGGTGATCAAAAAGATGTAAACTTAAATAGTTTTAAACCGACATGCATTTTTAGTGAAATTGATGTGTTAGCTAGGCGGTATGCTGAAGAAGATATAATTTCATCAAATAAGCGGAAACTCATTAAAAAGGATGTTCAAAATTTAGTTAAAGATAATACTATCGATGATAACACTAACGATAAAAAAAATAATTTAAATGATAAAAGTAAAGAGATATAGGTGTAATATATAAAGTATATATATATATATATATATATATATATATATATATATATATAAATTAATATATTCTAATTATCTATCTCATTTATATCTCAACCGCGACCTAAGGAACATATCTTGATTTTCATAATAGAAACTTAAAATGAAATATAATTTTGTTATATTATTAACATTTATTTGTTTTATCCAAGTATTCTCATCTACAATACCTATTGATTTGAGTCAAAATGAATTTGAAAATACAGAGTTTTCTCTAAAACTACCTAATAATGATACTATAAAAATAAAACTGAACTTTAAACTAATGAAATGGCCTCAAAGTGATCAAAATGGACTAAAAGAAGACGTAAATAAAACATCTATTCCTGAAACGACATCAGAAGCGCCTACATCTAATCCGAAAAAGTATTTCACAACACAGGAAGCCATAGAAGCATTTAGGCAAGATCTAATACAAAAAGAGAAAAATATTTCGGGAATAATTGAGAGCTCACAACCCTTTTATAGACATTTTCAGCTTCAATATGAAGATAATATTATGCTACGAATTCGCTGTACATATGATAGTGATTTCCTTCAACGTAAACTGAATATTTCTTGTTTTGAGTATCGCCAGGTTGCATTCGAGAAAATTCTAAGTAACGGTGAAATTGAAATTGTTACTGGAGATGATACCACACTACGCTCAGATGTCACATTAATTGATATTAAAAGTTATAAACATGATATGGATATGGAAATTTCTTAACTTTTAATACTATAATATGGATTTACCGTATTCATATGACATATAAAAATAATACAAATGTAATATATAAAAAGATTTATTTGATATTTGGTTTTCATTACTCAGCGGAGTGTGATCGATTAGTTAATAAAATTGGTGGTTCTAATACATACTTATGTTCACAATTATTTAAATAGGATTTGATTAGACTCTAAAAAAATAATATAAACTTATATAGAAATTCATAAGACTAATTTTTAAACTAATTTAAAAAAAGCTCAAGCTATATAATGTCAGAGGAATATACGTTGGTTATAGACGTTCAGGGAGTCTATTTTAATAAGAAATTTATTGCTAAAGAAGTCAGCATATCAACATATGATTCACATGTAACAACGTTTCTTATTCAACCTCCTTTTGAAGAATCCAAGTTAACGATACGGGATAAAACAACTAACAACTGGTTATATCATAATCATCATGGATTAAAATGGGAAGAGGGTGATTCGACTTTAATGACTGTTATTGAATATATCCATTCATTAATGAAAAGAAAAAATTATATATTCTATGCTAAAGGATTGGAGAAAATCAGATGGATTCAACGTTTATTCGGATACGATATTATTTTATATAATTTAGATGATTTAAATTGTCCAAATTTAAAGAATTTATATATTAAAAATACAAATATAAATACTTGTAAATATCATAAAAATTCTATGATATGTGCTGAAAAAAATGTAATAATATTAAGAAAATTTATGTCTTCATTAAATATCTAATAATAAATAAATAAGTAATTATAAAACTTTCTTTTATTTCAAATTAAATTTTATTTGTTCTCATCATCAACATCAACAGGCCTTTCCATTCATATACACATACATATTAAATACTTAGCAATCAACTATGTGCACATTACTAACACACTTTTCTAGGGGTGGAGCATCTATATATGTATATACATATATACGTATGTACGTTTGTATATATTTCTGACTGCATACCAACACACTTTACTAATTTTCGACATATAAACCACCTGGTATCGGATTTCTCAGATTTCCATCAGCGGTACACCCTGTGATCGATTCCGATTCTGAATGGTATCGGATTTCCATCAGCGGAACACCCTGTGATCGGTTCCGGTTCCGGACTCAGATTTGTTACCAGCGACATCTTGCGGCTTTTATCTGGGTTCCGAACTTGGATTACACATCTTGCGGCGGAGCAGCAAAGCTTGCGGCAGAGCACCAGCAAACCGTATAGCGGTTCTGCACCGGTGCAAGCAGCAAGCAGCTGCTAGCAGCGCTGCCTGCACTGGTCCAGAATCGGCATAAATATACTACTAAATGAATTCATACACAAACAGATATTCTGTCATTGTTGCTTTAAAATTGCTTCAAATAAATCGCCTTTATGTTATATGTGCATTTATTTAAATAGATATTATCTCGTAAATATAATTTTTTCTCATTTAATGAGTTAGTTCCTATAATTTCTTTATCCTCGTGCTAGTAATATAAAGTTAGTGATACTGAGCTCTATAACCAAAGAAAACACGACTATTGTCGCAAGTAGGGTTGCCAGATTTTGAAACGGAGAAAGGAGTACATTTATATTCTCGATAGAAAAAAAGCAGTACATGACATAAAAAAGGAGTAAAATTTTTTTTTTAATTTTTTGTGCAATTTATTGTTACAAATTACCATTAATTAGGTACAAACAAACAAAGATATCTTAGAAATCTTTTTCAAAGCAACAATAAATGTGAAAAATAAATAACTATATGGGTTGGCTTTCCAATAGGGACGATTGTTAAAGAGATGGTGATCGAAGGGGGAGTGGACGTGGCACCTTTTCCGACCTTTTTGGAGAGGGCATGAACCGCCATTGACAAAAATGTTACTCCCGACCACCTAGGGCCCCGACCCCTTAGAAAAATTGCCAAAAGTCAAAATTTTCATTTGCGTCCACAGTATTTTTGCGAAGAATTCGGTTCTCAATGACCGCCCTTATAGGAAAGTTTCCCCAACTAAAAAACTAAAAACTACAAAAGAATTCCAGACTCTTCCTGAATGTATGACCATTTTTTTTAATTTAAGCCTTATAATTAATTTAATGTTTTTCTGATTTTTATACCTGAGCGCCCTGCCCCTAAGGCTATGCTTACACCTTTTCACTATCAGACTTAACTTTGCTTACTAAGGGCCAGTTGTTCAATGTCTGATTAGCATAAATCAGAGGTAGAAGCTCCGGTTAAATACAAGGACTGCTTTATCGATCACATGTTATATGCATGATGTCGAAGATGTCGATAATGATGTTTAACCGGCAGGTAGTGATAACCAGACATTGAGTAACCGGCCCTAAGAGTGTTTGCCACATTATGAATGGCAAAGCGCAGCGCGCAAAATAATAACTGTCGCACAGGGTTTTTGAAAAATAAAAGGGTTCTTTATAGATCTTGTGTTTTTTTTTGTTAACTTTGTAAATATTTTACTTTAATTTTATTAATTGGTTTTAAAATTTTAATCCTGATTTGCATTTGCCA